TATTTTCAAATCAAATAAGAGAGGAAGAAGAAGATGAGTGGCTCTGACGCTAACGTCTTCGGTTGGTAACTTCAAACCAATCAATCAAGAAAAGAATACGAGGTTATAAACAGAGCACTACTAACTCATCTTTCAAACTAAACCATATCAATCTCAGAGGAGGGAGATGATTAGTTCTGATCATTCTCCATTACACAACGTCTTCGTTTACGGTAGTTTCCAGGAGCCAGCCGTCATGGGTTTGATCTTAGAATACACTCCGGTCATCGTCTCCGCTCAACTTCATGGCTTGTACGTCTTACTTCACATCTCCCATCTTTCTTTTGCTTAGACTCTGTGGAAACTTTTTTGTATTTTGCAATCAAAGGGCGTTTGCTTCCTTGTATTTCTCCTTATGAGACCGGAGTAATCAACGGAAAGGTTTTATTTTCATCTTTCTTGCAAAAAAAATATATTATAAACTAAGATAAAACACAACTTAATCTTCTTGAGCTTATAGTAACTTCTTTGACAAGAAATAATTTTTCTTCTTTTTAATATATTTATTCTTGATCCCAAAATCTGAAAAAGGGTTGATGGTTTGTGCAGGTACTAACTGGACCAGCTAACAAAATGCTCAGCTAGAGGATTTAGAGATGATTGAAGGATCTGAATACAAGAGGAGAACTGTTTAGGTTCGAGTGTAAGTTTCACTTCATCATCTCTACTGATTATTCTGATCATACGATTGCTTAAAGCTTGAAGGTTTGATCTACATTTATTCAGGACACGTCCTAGAAGATGGAAGTGGAAGCATTTATTTGGGCTAACGAGGATGATCCTGACTTGTATGGAGAATCGGATTCGAGGTTGAAACCATTATGCATTAGTTCACAAATTCTTACTCATCGTCAGAAACTAATAAGTCTTTGAAGTTTATGTTACTTGTTGGTTTTGGCAAAACGTTTTTATGGATTTGATTTGGTGGGAATGGAAGTGGCTTCACAAGGAGAAATTCATAGAGGCGTCCAAAATATTCATCGAATGGAAGAAGAATCCAAATGGGACAACAAGAATTTGTCTCCATATCTATTGTTTACTCCAAGTAAAATGTTCTCACTTCAAATGGAAAAAAGACTATAGGAGGCTTTGTGGATTCAGAACACAAATAAAGTGTTCTATTGTATTTTATATTTTTCTATGAACTAATGTTATATCATGTAAATCTTGTTTTATCATATGTAAATCTTGTTTTATCATGTCTAGTGTCTTTTAGATTAAGGCAATATGTGTATTAGAGGTATCTCCATTCAGAAAAATATCGAAATCTAATCTGTATCCAAAATGTCAATTTGGGTTGAAAATACAATAGAATAAAAATGATTTGACTTTGACCGCGTAGAGATTTGTTTAAAAATACAAGAAAATGCAAACGGTTTGACTACTTCTGAACAATCTCTGACTCACGACGTCAAAGTGGTTCTGAAGTAATGAACATTGTTAATTATTACTTGTTTAATACTCTCTCGTTTCATACTATTAGATATCACAATAGAAATTTTTTTAATTACAAAATAAATGTCATTTTCAGTTTTCAATGCAAAAATTATTAATTTTGTTATGTACTTTATTTTTCTATTGATTGATATGTAATTTTGTTTTTATATAGAAAATTACAAAATTATTTGTATTTCTTAATCTGTGTCCACAAAATTAAAATGACACTTATAATGAAATAGAGGGGTACATTCTTGACCAACATTTTCTCTTTGATATTTCAGGTACTAACTGGATTACCAAATGCTCAGTTAAAGAACTTAGATATGAATATATGATACAAGGACCTGAATACGAGAGGAAGACGGTTGGGTTATATAAACTGTAAGTTTTTATTACAAAATCACTATTGCTATGATTCTGACATTGTTTAATCTGTGATTTTGATCTCCACATGGAGGAGACATCATAGATGATGCAAGTGGAAGCCTTTATATGGGCCAACAAAGATGATCCTGACATGTATTTAACGATTTGTAAAGGATCTGCATTTGCATTTGTATTTTGCCGTTGAACTTCAAACCTTTAAACTTTGGGATAGAATTTCCTAACTTGTTTTGGATTTGGATTTTTGATCCCATAAAACTATAAACCAACTTCAAATTCCATCCAATTTTTCTTAATAGAAAATAGACTAATTTAAGATTATGAGTGCAGTTGATATTGGTTTGATATTTACAATAAAGAATCATAGGGGAGTAAAGATTAGGACACCATAATGTAGCTCAAGTTGTATATGGGAAGTGTTTTTATTACACTTGATGAAGGGCACATTGTGCCCTACAAAACATGCCATTATTTGAGTGGTTATAAAGTCCCAAACCACTCCTACATGTGTTCTTTCCAACACCTCATCAGATCCAACCCCCTTAATTTTACCATATATCCAGTTTTCTCATTAATTTGAACATAAAATTGTTAATCAGACCCCTACTTATCCCTACTTATATATGCTCATAACACAAGGATACTGGCTGTTACATTATTCCGTTTCTTTTCTTTACCGATGTGAAAAGACATGTTATATTTTCAGATAAAGCTCAATTCCAACGAATGAACACGTTTTAAACAGTATGATTGATACTTGATGAGCTTTTTAAATCCTGAAATTCTGTGTGATGTGACAAGAAAAAAAAAGAGAATTGGTGGAGTTTTCTTTCCAAAAATATGCATAAATATTTTATTTAGTTGAAATTTGCAGAAGCTCATATTTTTATTCTCTATGTTTTATATGCATTCGTGAAAATATTTGTCAGCTAAAGTAGTATTTAACTTATGCCTTCAATTAATATGATTATGTTGATAATTTTTTTAACCCACAAAAGATTTTGTAGTCCAACTCTTGGGTGATAGAGTCACTGATATTTGTTCTTTAAAAGGTGCTACATAGTACATATGATCCCATGAAATTTGTACTACTCTCATATCTTTTTCATCATTTACCCTCCCCCTGGCCCCCCCTCTCCTTCCAACCTGAATGATCAAATAATTGTTTGGTTAACCATGTCAAAAACATAGAGATTATAAAAGAATCTTAACACTACGAACTAAGATTCGTTATTAAAGTTAACGATAGAAAAAAAAGAAAAAAAATGAAAGTGCTTTATAACATAAAAGAAAAATAGAACATACAAAAAAAGTATGAACAAATTTTCACAGTAAGAACCAGTAGACTGCAGTATTAACGTAAATACAGCTAGACAAGGTGAAAAAAATGCTCTGAATGTAATTAGTGAAATTCTTCAGAATGCATTATATGTATATATAATAGTGATTTTAATGGAGCTGTCGTCATCTTTCAAACTCTCACACTTTTTCATTGTGAAAGACTTTCAATGCTTGAGTATGGATGTCGTAGTTCAGATCAGTGGTACTATTTCAAAACATTAAAGAAGAAATGGTATTAGGACTACTTGGGTAAGCAAAGAAAAATAAACTTTCTTTACTATGGACCAGTCATACAAATTCATGATTCTGTGCCCAATAAAATAAAAGGTGGATACTCGTTTCCATGTTCTGTCTTTATCATCTGTCCAACATAAATCTACTGATAATTTAAATATTAGCTTATAATTATGAGATTTTAAAGATTTTCCAAGCTCAACAATTAATCTCACGAAACACAGCATCCATGTATGCAATTAAATGTATACAACTAATTCATCTAAATAGTATGGCTAGACGGTTAAAGCAAATCGAATCAAAAACTTTTTAAGTTGGAACGTTTTTATCAAGACGACTTGGTTAATAAATATCTGATATCTGATACTTATTATTAGCCAGGTTTGATTTATACTTTTCCCGGAAAGAAAGATAATATATACTATATTTTTGGATTTCTTCAAAGGATTATTAAAAAATACGTAGTACCTTCATATCTGCTAAAGTTTTTTGAAAATTAGAAAGATAATATATTTTGGTTTTGACTATTCGGATGATGATTCTCCCAATACATTGTGGCCTTCTAAATTGTACTAGTGACACCATGGATTTGACGTGTGGAGTCTTTATGTACGTGTTGGTCTTAATTCTTTGCGTGTTAACTATGATTACGTAGCTTATTGAAAAGTATTTAAAAATAAGAAGGAAAATCATACTTATCGTCATTAATAATACTAATAATCACATCACGCCCAGAATAAAACTTTACTGGTGGATTACTGACATCACTGACATGAAGCGCACAGAAGGTTAAAGCCTAGCAACACGGTTTCAAGAGTTGATTGTAAATATAGCTGGTCTCTTAAGCGTATATAAATCAGTCAAATAACATTAATCCTAGTGGAAATTAAGGTACGCTTCGGAGAGTGCCTCGTTATGACCGGTGTCGTTTTACCTATACCATAACATGAATATGTCTCGTTGTAAATGTAATGCGTGTTTAGCAATATATGCCCTAATCAGGTACGTTAATCATTTATTCCGAAAGCCAAATCCGAGTAGACAAATTTGATATCCAAAACGGGTTTTCAACCGAAGCCTTCTTGACAAATGTGAAAATGGTTCGTAGATAGAACACAAGTAGAGAGTTTGCACACAAAAAACAAAAAACACATATGGTATGTGGAGGAAATGGTAAATTTCAGTTGTATAAAAGTGGATTATCTGGCAAATATTTTCTTGGTTCCTTGTGTTTGTGTTGTTGTAACTCTGATTTAATTTAATATAATAAACAAGTTAAAACAAGAATGTCATAATGCATTTTTTTACCCAATAAAATGTCACAATGCATTAGAAAATTTATAACTGGACAGTCTTTAGGTTTAAGACATTTACTACTCTATATATTTCCCCACCCCTTGTTATGGGTCCTACTTTGCCATCAACCATATTCATCTAACCATAGTCAAGTCATCAATCCTTTGAATTTTAATTGTTGACTATATTATTTATTATTCCTATTTATTAAATTTTCTCCTAATAATTATTTTATTCTATCTTAGCAACATCCATCACCAGATTCACAGACATCTCAAGACTCATCTTCCACACCCCTCTTATTATAACATCTTCCTCATCCTCCAAAGTTTATTTTAAACACACTAAAATAAAAACAATCAAATGATCATCTCCAAAAGCTGATTAGCTCTTTTTATCTAACTTCTTTGTTTCTGAATACCATTTTTTTGTTAGAACATAACATAAACCCTAACTTTTTCTTTTCCTCACAAGATTATCTTGAAAGTATTAAAAACCCATAGATACTTGAGTTTTGAACAATGGATATGACTCTTAAATCTCCTGAACCCATCCTACCAGCCAAACCAATCTCCTTCAGCAACGGAACCATCAAACGCCACCACCACCTCCACCACCCAATCACCGTCACATACAAAGAATGCCTCAAGAACCACGCTGCAGCGACTGGTGGTCACGCGCTCGACGGTTGCGGAGAGTTCATGCCTTCTCCTTCCTCCACACCTTCCGATCCAACTTCCCTCAAGTGTGCCGCCTGTGGTTGCCACCGTAACTTCCACCGCCGTGACCATACCTCAGCCGTGCCTCCACCGTCTCTTCCTCCATCTTCCACAATCTCATACCAGCCTCACCACCGTCACCACCCGCCTCCTCCTCTCCCTCCAAGCCCTAACTCATCTTCTCCGCCTCCTATCTCCTCCTCTTACATGCTCCTCGCTCTCTCCGGCACCGATAAAACCGGTGGAAAGAGCTTACCGTTCTCAGATCTCTCCACTCGCCACCTTACTCCAGGCTCTCGGAAGCGGTTCAGGACCAAGTTCAGCCAGGCTCAGAAAGAGAAGATGCACGAGTTCGCTGACCGTATCGGGTGGAAGATTCAGAAGCGCGACGAGGACGAGGTGCGCGGCTTCTGCCGCGAGGTGGGAGTCGATAGAGGTGTACTCAAGGTTTGGATGCATAATAACAAAAACACATTTAACAACCGCCGTGACCTCCCATTCTCCGGCGATATAACCACCGTCAAGATGACCGATGACGGTGTTGCTGTTCCCGGCGGCGAGAACAATGATAATAACACCGAAGGAGCTGACGGCGAAAATGCTAATGGCTCGTCGTGTTTTTCGGGAAAGAGCAATGATGAAGCTTAAGCTTTGTTTAGCTTTAGATCATAGAGAGTAAGCACTGCTATTATCATCTTAATACGTTTATTATATTAATTAAACTCTTTTATATCTTTTTGTTTTTACTATTCATTATTTTGTTTTCGGATTTTTATTTGATCCTCATTAGTTATTACCACGAAGTTGTCTCAAGGATGTAATAATATAACATGTTCAGCAGTTCGGAAGATATTTCCATAAGAGGAAAGTTTATGTCAACTAATCACCCGAATCAGTAACTCAACTATAAGTCGATTTTTGGCAAATCACATGAACCCTAAATTAGTGCTTGATCAGATAAATTAGAGCAATTTATTAGTTTTATTAAATAAATGATTTTATTTGGCTTCTTATCTTGAAAGTACTTTTAATATGCGATCGAACAAAGATCTAGGTGTCCTTTTCATAAATCTCTTTATTCTTCGAGAAAAGAGACAGTTTCTTTAAAAATCTATTAAATTAATTATTAAGTTATTTTAGTATACAATGATTAGTAGTGTTTTGTTTATTGGAACCCAAGTTGTGTTGGATAATCTTTGATTAATTTCATCACTAATCGTTTTTCCTCTCATCCGTACATTCCCACTTCATTTGGTGTATATATGTTCAGGATTTTTTATTCTTAAAGTACTAACAAACAAGCATATATGTTATAAATGGGATCTAACTTTATTATTAAATTGCTATATAGGGTTTACGGCGTTCATGAACTATATAATCATTAACTTCACGAACAATTAAATAACTTTCCATGAGGGAAAGTATAGATGCAGCCGTGATAATGCGATAAACAATTAAGATACTGTGATCAGCAAATGTCGGTTTACCAAACAAAACAAGCATAAATATGCAATTAGATTAGAGTATTACTTTATCTCTAAACAGGGTTTTGTTGATATAACTATTGATAAAAAAAACACTTGCCATTATTTTACGCATTTCGTGAAGTCACAGATCTCTTTTTTCATGGTGGGGACAGAACTTTTGAACACAGGCTGAGGTTATGGCCACCTAACTGCCATGTACCATGTGCACAGTGCACCACTTACTAATTTGAAATGTTCCTGACGTAACTAATGCTAACGAAATCGTACATTTAATTGTATATATTTGGAAAATTTCGCTATCTGGTATATATAATAACATAGGTCTACCTAATTGCCTAATGGACTTTGATTGGGACGGTCCGAGCAGTTATAAAAAAAAAGATTATGAAGGTCGCAAATGATTTTTCTGCGCAACATCTTATCTTATCTTTAAGTTGTAGTTTTTACTTTTTACAATCACAAACTATTGATAAACGATATTTATCTTTGAGTAAGAAATCTTAATCATGTAAGGTTTATGATATACATTCAACAACTCTCTTATCTTTTAATTAGAAAATTACCTTTCAATTAGTTATGGCTTATTATATTCTATCATTAGTTTATTCTCTACGTTTTTCGTTTTATCATTTATAATGTTATTGGTCATAGTTGTAATGTAACTAAGGGTGAACACTCATGGAATAATACCTTGATTCGTATTTTATAGAAATATATATATATATATATATATATATATATATATATTTTTTTTTTTATTAGATTTGTTTTGGATAACATATATCCGAAAAATATAGATATTTATGAATATTTACGAATATTTCATTCACTTTGTTTAGTACAAATAAATCTATTAAAAAAACTATACAAATTTTTTTTCAACAAATAGCTTTTACGTAATATAAAATAAAAAGTTAAAATTATATGTTCTATAAATGTTTTAAACATATTATTTTTTCTATACAACATAAAACTTTAAAACATTATACCTTTTATAAAGATGATGTATTCTTTTCTCGATTTAATATTTTTATAAGTAATCTTATAACTTAAAATTCTATATTTACGTTATATATACATCTATTTGTATAAAAGACAGAGTGGATATCTTTTTCAAAAAAAATATTATTTTGTGATTTATTTTATTTTTAGTGGATATTGATTTTTTGAATATTTGATTTACTTCAAATACTTATATAGAGATATCCAATTTTTTTGTTTGAAACTAATAACGAATCAAATCGCAATTAAAGGATAAAATGCTCAGCTAACTATGTTTTACCAGTTTTATGTGGCAAATTGACAAATACACTCTATGAACCTTTTAAGCTCGACTCAAAGAATTTTACAACAATACTGGTAGAAACAACAATTGAATGATCTTGTCGTCACATGTTGACCCATGTCAGCACCCCCATTAGGGGATTTAAGGGGGGGGGGGGGGGGTTCACACGTTTACCGAGGGAAACAGTGATGAACTCGGCGCGCGGGGATTCGTCGTGGTGAACCCAGTTCGTCACGAGTTCGCCACGTGGCGGGTCGTGATTCGCCAATTTTTTTTTTTTTGAAAAAGTAAATAAAATAAAAGATAAAAAAAAATAAAAAAAAACAGTTGGCAAACCCCACCTCAGTATCACTGGTGGGGATGCTCTAAAGTCTTGCAAACGGAAGTTTAAAATCTTTTTTTGTGCACCAGAAGTTTTAAATCTTATATGTGGAAAAACGAAGCATGAAGTGGGATAGCATAAACTAGCAAAATGATTATTCTAAAAACTGAGATTTGGGGAATCAAAGACCAGATTGTGTGTATCTTTTTTCCCCACTCCTTCTGTACAAAAATAAAATGATAGGTATATGAGAAAAATACAAAAGAATCTATATGAACATAACCTAGATAACATCCCTAGTTGAAAATTTGAAAATTAATTAGAGGTACTCGTAACCGTATTGTTTTTTTTAACTATACCTTATTGTTGTCTTCTCAAATTAAGTTTCTCTTCTTTAGAAACTAAACCTTAAACCACCATATGATAATCAAACGCTTCTTGTTACGTAAGAAATTAATATTCGTAGTCGTTTTCTTTATGACCGGGAGAATAAATTGGAGAATGCAATACTAGAACACCTATGAAAAGGATCGTAGTGGCTAACACACCTATTTAATAAGTTTTTCTTTACTCTTTTGATAGATGCTGAAGATTCCATAACCAGCTGTGAATTTTGTTCTTTTCACTTTCAGCATCTATAAAAATTCAGGTTCTCTTTATTTTTGCTAGCTTGTTATATAAATGCATCTCCAAACATGATCTTATTTTATGAGGACCTCATTTTGAGGATTAATTTGAATGGTGATTATAACCATAAAGCCTCAAATTTTTTTAAATATTTATTAGTTTAAAATATATTTCTTGACATTAATAAAATTTCAAAATACATATAAGACATACAATTAATATTAGCACACAATATTACAACATTATATAATAAATATTAATATAAATTACATATATAATAAACAACACATACATAAAAATTTTTAAAGTTACATATAGAATACCAAATTAATCAAGCATTATTTTCATAATACTTTCATATGTACTCAACGCATTATGTTAAGTTTGTTAATGTACTTTTATTTTGTGTGAGATTTATTTAAGTATTTTTCTGTTGTGTTAATTTTATTTTAATTTATGTAATATCTCTAAATTATAAATTAAGTTTATTATATATATTTGAAAAAATAATTATAAGACTAAAAAGAAAATAAAAAATAGTTTTAAAAACCTCAAAGTTGAAACAAAATTCAAAATCTTAAAATTTGGTTGAAATGTCAAAATCTCAAAATTTGAAAATTTAAAGTTGAGTTAGAAATGTTCTAAATGATCATAGTGGCTATAAAAATCAATGTTCTAGAACATGATAAATTCTTATTGCGCAACTGATAAATTTATAATAGCAACAATAAGTACATATATATATATATATCTATATATCTATATATATATATATTACACAGAATATATATATATATATGCTTAATATATATGCATTAGTCTTATAAAAGATTAACATAAAATATACTTTAAATATAATTTTATATATAACAATTTAGTTTCACATATATAAATAATTTTAAATTATTAAAAATAAAAATATTTTAAATATGTAAAGATGATAAATGTATAAATTTATAATTATTTTGCAAAAAATAAGCTAACTGCTATAATCATATAATAACAAAATGAGTAACAATTAACTTTAATATAAATTTAATAAAATAAATAAGAATATTAATAATTCATTTTTGAATATTAATGCTTAAAATCTGCAAGGTGTTTGCATATATTGCTTTATATTCGTCTAAAACTATTATACGTCTGAACTGTATAAATCCATATCAGTCACTGTATGATATGAAAATGTGACCTACTATTGTATAGCTCCTAAACACCTCATAGACATGAACCGCATTTCAAAATCTTATAAAACTATTTAATATTATACACTTTTGTGTAATAGAAATAAGGTAACAGTGGGGTTCCTAAACATGAAAACTTGATTTCTGGTTTAACTCATTGGAAACAAATTCACCACTCAAATTTCTTGATTTAATAACTTTCTAAAAACATTTCTTACCTAACAGTTTTCTTCGCTAGTAATACATAACATATCTAGAAAATCTAATAGATAAAGAAAATTCTTAATCTAAGTGTTTGCTTTAATTTTGTTGAAACTTTTATCAGAAAATAATAATTTTTTTTACTGTTTTCAAACAAAAAATACAGTACTGCTTGTTGATGCCTTGTTTGATGATGGTAATTACGGTTTTTTTTTATTGCGGGTTTTGTAGTGTCCTTTTTAGGCTGTTGTTTTTTTCTTTTTCTTTTGTTTTGGAAATATATATACTTTTCGGCTGGTTTCTGTGGAGTATAAAATGCCATAGTAGGCCTATAAATTGATATAAATGGGCTTATTAACTATTTGGGTTTCTATGTAAAACATTAAGCCGAACGACTCTTCTTATGGTATACATCACTTAACATACAAAATGATTTTATTAAAATAAAAGTTTAATTATCTGGTGCACCTTTGGTAACGGAGAAATCATTCACAACAATTATATCAGAAATTTTCGTGAATGACTCAGGACTATTAATAGTCTAATTTTAGGTCTAAGTTTAGGCGGAGAAGGGCTGCGAAATTTACAAGTAGTTTTGTGATTTTTTTTTCAAATATTCCTCAGTCAGTAGTGGTTTCATGCCGCATAATCAACTCCCTTGGCCCCTCTCCGGTTAGTTTTCCGGTGGTTTAAACCTCCTGCTGATCCTTTCCATCTCCTATACATGATTCTACATGTTCAGGTAGTGAACCTAATTGTTGCTTTGGTTTTACCAAATAGTAAGCCCGCATAAACCATCATGGTCTCAAATATTTTTGGTTTACTAGGATTAATTGTTCAGTGATCTCTCTGTTCACCTAAACTGGATCGATTTCTGAGAACCAATATATAAGATATGATTTGACCTAATTAATTGTTAAGTTTTTGAAAATTGATAGAAGATATTTGGTTTGGTTTAGGTTGATATATGTAGAGTCAAGAGTAGCTTGTAATCCTCGGGGTTAATCGAATCGCATAAGTTCTCTTTTAAATAATTATGTTGGGCCAAAACGTCCAGTTGAGTCATGGGGGACAACTGAAATCTAGATAACAGCATGATGAGTAGGATTGAATCGAAGATATGAAATGGAATTGCGAATAGTTTAAGATATATATCAAGAATATCAGAACTGGAATGTAACAAGTACGTACGTGTTCACGATGGAATACTATGTATTATATATGTTTAATCGGCCGCAAGTGAATGAGTGAAGTGGGTTAGTGAGAACTTAGAAATACAACTAGCTAGGTTCATGATAAGGAAATTGGAAATATGAATGTGAATATGTGCTGATCTGAACCCGCTTGGAAACTTTTTTTGAATTAGCTATCTATCACATGTGCTGTAAATTGATACACAATACAATGTTATGTATTTGTTTCTCAAGTAATATATAGAAATACATAGTATATTTCCTCATGTTGACAAAAAAAAAAATTATATATATATTTCTCATTTTACTATGTCAATATATATAATATACATCTGAAAATATAGGGATATTAAAATCGACATTGGCCTGACCAAGTTCGGCACAATGTTGCTAATAAACATATGCAGAAGAAATTCTTTCTCTCCATACTCAAATACCTAACAATGTACGTTCATGATGATACAGTTCACATGTCATTTCTAATCTGTAAACCAGCCAAAGATATCTAACTTTCTTCGTACGAACATATCTAACTTCCTCAGTTATTTATGTTAATTTCGAGTTCAATTAACAAACTAAATTTAATACAGAATGTTGTAATTCATTTATAGCAGTAATAACAACACAATCTCTTTTGAAGCTATATCAATGTCGTTTTTTTTTTTGAAACTATTTTATGTCGTTGGTTTTTTCTTTTGGCATTCCTTCGTTATATTTATTGTTTTGTTAATGTACGTACTTTATTTGGGAGTAATCAGTTTGAATAATTCCAACCTATTTCTGATTTTATAGAAAACTAAAGCTCAGAAGTCAGGCCATTATCGTGAATGATCATTAGTCTTAACGGTTCTTTGATAAATCAATTAAAACTGTTTTTTCATCATATCAAGTTAGCTACCAACAAGGATTAGATTTGTGGGCCTCTTGCTCTCTTTTTATTTCAGAATTATTTTCTTATATGTTCATGTTATATAAAAACTTTAAGGATCTCTCTTCTAAAGCAAAAAAAGGTTAGATTTAAAAGTAAAAAAAAAAAAAAAAAAAAAAAAAAAAAAAANCTTTTTATTTCAGAATTATTTTCTTATATGTTCATGTTATATAAAAACTTTAAGGATCTCTCTTCTAAAGCAAAAAAAGGTTAGATTTAAAAGTAAAAAAAAAAAAAAAAAGAAGTAAAACACGAATGCAAGACATATTTCTAAACGAAATAGTTCTTGTCATGGTATAATCAAGAAATCATGAATTGGTCTCGAGTAACAACACGTACTAGTTAAAATAAAACAGTAATATATGTAAAGTGCTACTCCCACTGTTCATGAAAGATTTTTTTAGATTAATTTTTGCTCCAAAAATATAATTTTTAAAAATATTTGCAAGATACTTTTAATAATTGATGTTATAAAACGTATATTTAAGGAAAAAATAATTAAGAATATTTGAATTGATTAAATACTATTGGTTGATAGATATTAGAGAGGGAACCAATAATTGTTTTACTATATTCATATAACTTCACCACAAGAGAAGAACCTTCCAAATATGCTAAAGTAACAATTATCGATCTCATCCACTCATAAAAATACACACATAATTTGTTACAAATCTACTTCACAATACAAGTATCAATTGTCTTAAGTGGAAACTGATTTGAAACGACATATCGTTGGACAACAAAATCAAAATACATTAATGTGACCAATACCGATAAAAAAAAATCAAACTTTATAAAGCATGAAACAATAATAAATTTAATATTTACTTAAGAAACCAAATTTCCAAAACACTATCAAATCCTGTAGGCATCCAATTATAATAAGTCTTTCACCACTTTAAATATTTAAGGTCTTAAGTTTTAGAATAAAACACAAACCCTTGATGTATTAAACAATATAACATCTTCAGTTTCATCCTTATATAAACATATAATCCACAAAGACAGAAACAAACACCTTTTAGCCGGCTCTAGTTTTTCTGGTCTAGTTCCCAGTCGAGGGAGGTGAATCACAGTCGCAAACAACCTCCGTTACGATTTCTCTGCGGTGGAAACTGCGGTGGCAGCCACAGGCGGCGCAAGTTAGCGCTACCACCGTACCTTCCTCTCCGTTGCTTGCCATGAACTCACGGCAGCCGTCGACGGCGTAGCCTCCAACTGCGGCCGCTTGGTTCTTCTGACACTCGCCGTATCTCACACCTCTCACTGTCCGAGACGAAGCTGTGGAGGAGCTTCTAGAAGGTTCCTCCGGCGATGCTCTCCTCAACACCACTTGACGCTTCCTCATGCTTCTTCTCTTCTTCTTGGCTCTAAACTTGTGTGTAATGATGTATTAGTGTCAACTATATATTTGAGACGAGAAAAAAAAATAAAGTTTCTTGTTAGTTTAATTTCTAATTTTCTACGGTGGGAGATGGAAAGAGAGTGAAAGCTCGAGATAATTACAAGAGGACCTCAGTTGTTAACCCTAACCCTAGATGACATATTTATAGCATTCCTTAGCAATTAACAAACAACTTCTTAGATAATTCTATATGCATGTGTATGTCAGTAATATCTATATAAGTATACATATATATATGTACATGTCTCTCGATGCATCATCACAGCCACAGACATTTTTTTTTAAATAGGTATATGTATGTTGTATATACGTTTTTATAATTTAAATTTCTGTTGGCGTCCACAACGATCCATGCACTGATCACATGTGCAGAATATTGTAGTTAAGTCTTTTTTTTTTCTTGAATAATACTCACCAGGTAGAAAGATTGATCAACTTATGCTGAATCGGAATTTGAAACTTCGCTAGGCTTAGAAAAGAGATTTATTTGAAACTTCGCTAACTCATAAGTTCTAAAATCCTGATTTATCATACTCATTATGTTTCTAAATAAATGTCATTTTAATATTTTTTCTTATTACACAAAAAATGTCACTTTAAAATTTTAATATAATTTTAAATTAAATATTAACTATAAATGCATTGATTTATAAATAATTTAGTCTCTAAAGTCTTATTGATTGAATATTTGTAATTAATAAAAATATAACTCATTTCAATAATTTTTTAATCTGTGTAAACGTTATGATATTTTTTACAAAACGGGATAAAGTAGTTTTTAACCTAAAACTGATAGGCAATAAGTGAAATGGTCATAGTCCATTATATATTATATCTGTACTATCAAAATTTTGATGTAAAAAATCATATTCTTACACTTGTTTAGAGATTAATGCTCATGACCTATTGATCTCTACATAATCTCAATATTTTCCCTTGAACCTTTATCACGAGTTTCAAATTTAAAACTAATTGACATAACTTGATTAAACCAAATTGTTTATGTATAATTTATGGTTCGTCAAAACTTATAATGTGTGAGTTTACACGCTCTTTAAAAATTAAGGACTATATCCTATTGATCTTAACATGATCGTAATAGTAAGCATGTTTTATTGTGTTAAATTTGGGAGTATTTATGTGTATTAGTCAAAAACAAATATTTTAAGAGTAAAAGAAATATATTTACTTGGATAACGAAGTTTTTCTAAAATAAAAAATCAGGTTTTGAANATGTGTGAGTTTACACGCTCTTTAAAAATTAAGGACTATATCCTATTGATCTTAACATGATCGTAATAGTAAGCATGTTTTATTGTGTTAAATTTGGGAGTATTTATGTGTATTAGTCAAAAACAAATATTTTAAGAGTAAAAGAAATATATTTACTTGGATAACGAAGTTTTTCTAAAATAAAAAATCAGGTTTTGAAACTAGTATAAATACGAATCTAATGCTTATATAAACTCTAAACGGTTATTTGCCTCTATTTTTTGGTTTTTTTTTCTTCTAAATTTGTTCGTGTGTGAGCCAAAATGTCCATAAGTCAGGGGATACATAAAAACGTTCACTTGCAATTATAAGCGACGAGATCTGAAGTCAGTGAGCCACCACTTTGTGAGTTAGGCACCCGTCTTTATTTGACAGTATTGTCATTTTTGATTATATTTTAACCATTATATTCGTATAGTATTTGGATCTTCCAAAACTCTTTTATATGCAACTTTCAGGAAAAAAACACTTCTTTTATTCCGAAAAATATAGCGCGCTAATTAATAATCATAACCACAAGCAAGCGAATAAAATAAAAGTGAGTGCTGAATTACGACTTGCGTGTGGATGCAACTTTTGTTCAGTTTTGCTAGAAAACCCTAAAATGATGATAAAGCTTTTCTTTAAGACCAAACAAAGTGATTGGTTTTAAAAGGAAGAAAACAGCTAAGCTTGTCCTTTTAAGACCTAATATGTACTGTGGTGGCCCTTTAACCCTCTGTTTTTTCTTCGTCCATTCTATTCTAATTAACATGAAGGTATGGTAATGAAAATCATTAGTACATGTCTAAAGAATATGACTTAGTATCGATTTCGTGAGAATACTATGCACAGACAAGAACCTTTTATGTTGGATACGTGATATCGTGACTCACTTGGTTGACTTAAGATCTAAAAAATTCAAAAATTGTTGTAATCTAAGTAACAATCAATATGTTTAGACTGTGTGATGAAAATGCATGAACAAAAATAGAAGTGTGTGTATAAATGTATATACATTTGGACCTAAAAACGTGGGACTGATAAGTTGGGCTACCAAACCTATTTTGTACATTATGAATACAACGCAATCCTTCACGATCTTGTTCTACTTTGCAATTACGTTTTGATATTTTCAATTACACGTGCATACATTCATTCGTATTTCAGTTAGACATCAAATGTTCCTGTTCATGTGTTCCATCAATCTCGGATAACTTTTGATATTTTTCTCCTTTCAGATTAGATATAAAAATGCAAAACCTTTGGATTCGACGTAACTCTTGAGATGTTATAAAAAACACTAGTCGCATAACCAAGCGTTTGTGACTTTCGATTTCTAATAGATTTTTTTTTTGTTAGGAATTCAACATATGAACTAAAATGAAAATTTAGAGTAATACAGTAGCATAAATATGATAATAAGAATCAATTATTGCATTTTTTTAGTTCGAAGTACTTTGTCAATATATTAATTATTAATGTCTGACGTTGAGTGAAAAAGAATAATCCAGATAAGATATATTATTGATTCTAGCTAGCATTTGATTCAGTTTAAGATAACCGAAAATTAAATGTCATCATATTGAGATGACATGTTAGGAATCATACATCTGAAGTAAAGTAAACAATAAACTGATATATACATGCGTGACATGTGTTTAGAGTCGAAAATATGAAATACTGATACAGTCTTGCTGTCTAAAGTTTCATCCTATAGTTTGATGGGATGATTCATTTCTAGTAGATGCACCAATGCAATGCTCACTTCACAGCTGCAAGTTCTGAGATAAATCTATATATTTAAGAGACAAAAAAAACTATCTCGTTAAAATTCCTTCAATTATATTTCTATTTTATTTAAGACGTTAGTGGATGCATTTGTGCATAATTGTGTAAAGCACAGATAGTTAATCCATTTTTCATTTGATTTGATAATATTGTTTCTGTCTAGCGACAACTAGGAGTCGTACCAAACATATATGCACCAGAAGTTAGCTATAATTACAGGCCAACCAATCATGTTTGGTAGATTTATATAATATTTATTCATGAATTAAGTAAAAGTATGTGGAAAATTAAAGTATGATTCTTCCTTTAACCATTTTTGGTGAGGGTTAAGATTTAAACAATATATACAGATCTGTTCTGAATTCTGATAGTGGGATCACTCAATCACTCGGATAAACTAAAGATGAGAGATTAATAATCAAACCTAAAAGGCATTTCCACATTTGTAACCTAATATACCATATGTTGACAAAAAAAACCTAATATACCATATATGATTGCAAGTCTTTAAATGTTTGGTAATAAATTGGATTTTATAGGTTTGTTATTGAATCATTGATATTCTTGGAGTTTGTATTACTTTGACGATTTTCATGTTATATACCCTTTCTGTTTTGCAAAAATGTGGTTTTAAAGTTTTATTTTTGTTTTACAAACTGTGTTTTAATGTAAAATTTTAAATAAAATTTATGTTTTATCCATAATATTGTAATGCATTAATTAGAAAGACATATTTATTTAGTGTGTAAATAGATAGGATAAAATGAAAATAGTAAATGATTTTTTAATATACTTAAAAAGTTTCAAATGACACCTTTTGTAAAATATAAAGTACTATTGTTTTGCAGAATGATGTGGCGACAGGTGAAATGTGAGTAGAATACTCAACATTTTATCGTCTACTCTAATTAGGCACTCTGCTATTAAATAATTAATGTCCAAATTAAAATAACATGTGAGGAAGCAAGAAAAATAGTCGCAATAAATAAAAGGAAGACGTTGGGCTTTGAGATCACATGAACCGCACATGATTCTTCAGCTCCTTTTTAACACCATTTTCTTTGCCATTGGGCTGAAGTCCTAGGACGCAAGACCAAGCTTGCCAAATATTCACAATTTCTTTGTCTAGCTTATTCAATTAAGCAATCAAAGAATCCTAGAAACACATAACTGTAAGTGTTTCAAAGTTTTTTCTTTTCTTTTTTTGCTAAAAAAAGTGTTTCAAAGTTTCTACGTGTTTGTTAATTATTCAAAAGATGTACCACCTTGAAGTGAACCGGATGTGAGCTAATTCTTTCGTTACATTCATATGCATATATGACATTAATGTAGTTTTGTTTTAACCTTCTAGATACACATGCAAAAAAAAAACTGACAGATAATATACTTCGAGATATATGTGATATATTTACATCTATATATTTAATGTGTACACGTATGTACTGTTTTAATCGATAAAAAGTTCATAAAATTACGGCTGAAGAGAATTAAATCAAAAGCCAAGAACTTTCATAGGGTTCTTGCCGTACATAGCTTTACAGCAAAGGTGCTGCTGCTTGTTTTGCTTCTTTATTTGTTTTTCATTTTTTTGTCTGGATTACAGTTTCCATGATAATACGTGGTTGGTGAGACATTTTTTAGAAATAATCGGGTTAGGTTGATCGAACCATAATCCAACAAACAATAACACAACCGATTCACTTTTGTAAACATGGTTCTACTGTTTTCACCATCGGACGACAACTGGAAATTTTCTTAGACCAAGAAAAGAGAAGCTAAATTAATAGTGATATTGACTTTCCTTATAGTACTTGGTTACCATTTCATGTGAGTGGTAACTCACAAGGTCACACAAGAAAGAAAGTCAAACTTTAATTCTTCGTCACTTTCAATATTAATAGTGCCAATCCATCCCGTTTTTTTATTAATTTTTGTTTTTTAAATAAATAGTTTCTTTAAACCTTGTCGGGTCTCATTTATTTCATGCAATAAGTTTTTCGTGTAATTTTCTTTTTCTAGTGGTACTTTTTTTTTTGAACTTACTATTTTCTTTATTAGTAGGTCTTTAAAATTCACCAATAATAAGGCTACTTTAACTCCACGTTTTAATTTACTGAGAGGCATCCAGATTCTTTTTATGTTGAAATCTCAGACATACTTCAGAAAGGAAAAAAANTTATTTCATGCAATAAGTTTTTCGTGTAATTTTCTTTTTCTAGTGGTACTTTTTTTTTTGAACTTACTATTTTCTTTATTAGTAGGTCTTTAAAATTCACCAATAATAAGGCTACTTTAACTCCACGTTTTAATTTACTGAGAGGCATCCAGATTCTTTTTATGTTGAAATCTCAGACATACTTCAGAAAGGAAAAAAAATAATTATTATTCTTATATAAAAACAATAATTCAAAATAATAATTTGATAAATAGAAAATAAAGATATTCGAGTCCCCTTAAGAATTCAGAAGGCCATTTGTAAAACATCATTAATTGTGTAATCAAAGAGGGAAATAAATAAAAAAAATATTAGAGACTTAGTTCACGATGATCTAAGTAAGATAATTCAGAAATCCAAAAACAACAGAAAAAAAAGAAAAACAAAGAGGACGCTAAAATTAAACGAACCATCTCGATTAACCAAATTATTCAGAAGAAATTAGGGTTTTCATCCAACAGAATATCACCAATCTGTCCACCAGAATCCTCAAACAGCCACTTCTCGAATAACGACAAATGGCTTTGGTTACTACATCCAGTTATGTCTGGTTTAGTTTCATGATCAGGTGAAAGTCCAGCCAAGTGATATGATGAGCCACAATATTTCGAGGGACCGAACCCTGAAAACGCTTGAAATCCCCCTGCACAGTCTTTCTCAACATCATCACTCTTTATCACTTCTCTTGTCTCAGAATCAGGAGAAATCCTCTGATCAGAGTAGTTCTGAGTCTTTGGTGTGGTCTTCACCCACCCTTCGAGCAATTTCGCTATATTCTCGGTGCTCGAGGCATAAGTAGTAGATGTTTCTTGCGTCCGAAGAAACTCGCATGCTGAGGATGTAGAATGTTTTGATTCAGAAGAAGATGTTGTTGTCGCTGTAGTGGCCAATGTAGACGTAACGCTCGGTGCTAAGGAAGGCGACAAAGCCTCAGATAGGGCCTTTTTCGCCAAGTGAATATCGGTTTGAAGTTTTCTTTCCCATTGACCTCGTGATATGTTTGAGTTGGAATTAGCAGAAGAAGATGATGGAGAAGAAGAGAGCGAGGAACGATCTCTTGAATGATCAAGTTCTTGATTGGCTTTGTTGAGTTTCTTCTTCAAATGAGTGTTCCAATAGTTTTTAATGTCATTGTCTGTCCTCTGTGGAAGATATGACGCAATTGCAGCCCATCTATAGCAAATATTAAATGCCCTCTATCATTATTTTCTTGTTTATTTTAAGAAGTTCGGAGAGACAAAATGAGAGAAATAAACTTTTGATTAATTGTTGGTTGATTAAATTTACCTATTGCCTAAGAGGGCTTGGAGATGGACAATCATTTTTTCTTCATGTTCTGTGAAGTTGCCTCTCTTGATTCCTGGTCTTAAATAGTTTGTCCATCTAAGCCTACAACTCTTGCTGCATCTAAGCAACCCTGAATTACAAATGACAATAAAGGTAAAATTAAAATTAAAAAACTGATGAGTAATATAACAAACTTCATGGATTAGATCTTGATCCTAAGGTCAATAAACAAAACCCTAGCTAATTAATTCAGGAATATGGTTTGGATTAAGCTTATTACACATCAAACCATTTGCAGAAACAGTGTATATATTAACTAAATTAAATCCATACCCATTTTGATACTTTGCCTATCTTAGCCATCATAACCCTTGTACATATATACAAATCTTGAGAGATGATATACATACATAAAGAATGGAGATTATACATACCAGTACTAATGGGAACAGCTCTCCAGTTTCCAGGACCACGTTTTTGGATGTAAGTAACTAAAATGATATCTTCTTCAGGAGTCCATGGCCCTTTCTTAACTCCTCCTTTGTCACAACAAGGAGGCCTCACCATATTTTGATATTTCTCCTAATCAATCAATTAAGTAATAATTACTCCTTTCCTCTTTTTGCCTCTCTTAAATTCCTCTACAAACTCTTTGCCCAGAAAATAGAAGAAAATTGACACAACTTTTACTTGTTGATGAGTCACAGTACGTACCCTTAGACTCACTAATTTGTACACTTAGCTTTGGATGGATCTAATGTTTAAGCTTGACGACAAAGGTCTATGTCCACCTTCTTCTATATATATATGCTGAGCCTTGTTGGTCTTGGACTCATGGATCTCTCAAAATCGAGTATCTAATAAATAAATTAAAAATGTGTAAAGCATTAACTACAAAAGTGGAGGTAAAGCCTCCAAAGTCAGCTGTGTGGCAAAAAGGAAAAGTCTCTACCCTCCACACAAAACCGCGTGGCATTCAATGTGGGTTTACGCCTTTCAAAAACCCTAATGTCAAAATTATACTACTACTATTAATTAGATTATGATATTAAAAAAATCAATAATAACGGGGACATGCAGGATAACATGATAATGATATGTGATAAGATATCTCCCTCTATAGTGTTTGATTTATTGCTACGATAATTTTGAGAATTGAATAGTGGCTATTGCATTTATGTCTAGTGCATAGGCTTTGTTACTAATAGAAATTGTTGAGATGGTCTTTTGACGAACGAGATTGTCTCTGCGTCATGCTTTGCTGTTTCGGTTCTCCATGAAGACGAATTATTTATTTTTAAGAAAATAGAAACGGAAAAATTTGCTGTTTTGGATTGAACAAGTGGGTCTTTGGCCATTGTCAAATTACATTATGGTCTACGTCATTCATGATGCTAGGGACTTCTCTATACATACACTGTTTGCATATGCATAATGCATCTATATATGTTCATGAAAAATATATCAGTATGATTTGGTATGTTTCATTTAGGTATGGTTAGCGATCAGTATTGACAGACCACGTCTGGATTTCACGAGGCCGTAGGAAAAGGAAGAAGAAGAGACACGGGACTACTTTTAATTTCTTCTCTTTTGTCAACCATGTGCTGTATCTATTTATTTATCCAGATAGTTTTTTCTTGTTAAAGGGGCTTTTATGCAGGTTTTTCTTTTTCATTTGGGCTAAAATTGCATTGTATTGTTATCAACTCAAAAATTAATTAAAACCAAAAAAAAAAACTCACACTTAATTTCTAAAAATGAAAAAGGTATTCGTGCACATGTGATGAAATACAGATTTGTCAAAATATATTCTTTTAGGATGGAGGTCTGAAATTTTCATTTTCGTTCCATCTTTTCCTTCGTTTTCTATAGTTTCATCATTTCGGTGAACTAGAAGATCATACGGAGGAAGTATTGGTTACGATCCAACTTTCGTCTAGATTAATACGCAAAATTCAACGGCCACAAACATGGTGTATATGTACATTATAAAATGATCTATATATATTATATACATTGTAGATTTAATGATGTCAAAAAAATATTGTAGATTTAGTATGTTTACGAGATCATGTATATCAGATAATCCATCCAAGTGTATGGCTGAATCATAATAAAAGAATGAATATAAAAAGGCATAATATTTTTTATAAAATACATATATATGATTTGCTATCAGTAAAGATTGACTTATTAGAGCATCCGCAATGGCAGATTTTTGGGGGGGAATCCTTAGGAAGAAAAAATGGTTGTTTCAAATTTATATAAGGATATTACAGATTTTTTCTTAAAAAAAAATTGACCATTCACGGACTGCCACGTGGGCAGTGGAACCCGCGAATAGTATAATGATCAATCCTTACACAAGACCCATTAATTATAAAACTAGGTGTTCTCCTGCACCATGTGCAGTAAAAAAATTTAAAATATTTTTTTAATAGATACAATATAAATTATGTTTAAAATTAAATTTTATTAATATTAGAAATTTTCTTTTTCTTATCACTATTTTAATACAAAATTTTGTTTAATTAAAAATAAAAATAATAGAAAAATATTTTTGTTTATTTTAAATTATATTTAAGAATATTCATGTATATATTTAAAATTCTAATCTTAGATAGATTTTTATCTATTTNAAATTATGTTTAAAATTAAATTTTATTAATATTAGAAATTTTCTTTTTCTTATCACTATTTTAATACAAAATTTTGTTTAATTAAAAATAAAAATAATAGAAAAATATTTTTGTTTATTTTAAATTATATTTAAGAATATTCATGTATATATTTAAAATTCTAATCTTAGATAGATTTTTATCTATTTATTTTAATTAATTATATCAAATAAATTTTTAGAAATTTTTATATTTATAAAAAATTTAAATTAGAGAATATTTATTAAATTTGTAAATATATAAGAAATTAATAATTTTACGGTTAAATTTTAATAATTTTCAAAAAAGATATACATTTTTGAAAAGTTTGTAGTAAAATTGTATAATTTTAAAATATATAATTAAATGATATTTTCGAAATTTATAATGCCATATTTGAATATAATTATTTTAATGATGATTTATGAGTTATTACCATATTTTGAAAATATTTCCAAAAATATAAATCGATAGCAAATCTAATATGAGTTGTTCCATATTTTGTAAAGTTTTCCAAATTATGTTTAAAATTAAAATTTTATTAATATTATAATATTTCTTTTTCTTATCACTATTTTAATACAATTTTTTTTTTAATTAAACATAATAATAATAGAAAAATATTTTTTTATTTTAAATTATATTTAAGAATAGGGTAATTCTCTCAAATAGCCCTCTTTTAAGTTTTTTATCACAAAAATAGACTTCAAAAATTAAAATGACCAAAATAGCACTTTTTATTTTGAAAATTTTATGTTTTTTCAAAAAAAATTTTAAATTCGAAACCCTATCTCCAAAATCTCACTCCTCAACTCTAAACAAAAAAAATCTAGGATTAGTTAATCCAAGGGGTATAAATGTATATTTAATAAAAAAATTAAGTGTTATTTTGGTCATTTTAATTGTTAAGGTCTATATTTGTGATAAAAAATTTTTAGGTCTATTCTAGCAATTTTCTCTTAAGGATATGCATGTATATATTTAAAATTATAATCTTAGATACATTTTTTATCTATTTATTTTAATTAAATATATTAAATAAATTTGTAGAAAAATTTATAATTATCAAAAATTAAAATTAGACAATATTTATTAAATTTGTAAATATATAAGAAATTAATAATTTTACGATTAAATTTTAATAATTTTCAAAAAAGGTATACATTTTTGAAAAGTTTGTAATAAATTGTATAATTTAAAAATATATAATTAAAAGATATTTTCGAAATTTATAATGTCATATTTGAATGTATTTATTTTAATGATGATTTATGAGTTATTACCATATTTAAAAATATTTCCAAAAATATAGATCGACATTAAATCTAATATATGAGTTGTTACCATATTTTATAAAGTTTTCCAAAAATATATATTAACATTAAATGCATTGTCCATGTCATATTTAATCATATGACATGTCATTAATTCTAGTAGACATGTTATCATTTTTTTTGTGAAACTAATTGTAGAGAGGACATGTGGCAAAATCACTTCGCAAATAATATATAGGGGATTAATAATTTTTTAAGGATTTCTCTCAAGGATCCGCCATTGCGGATGCTCTTAATAACATGGAATGCATGTGTGGTGTATGGATGGTGCTTGTGATGTAGGGACGGGCCAATCACATTTTCCATCGTATATACATATTCTAAAACATTACTAGTAGATCATAAAAATAGCAAAAAAAGGAGAAAACATAAGCAATAAAATACATTAGGTACAAATTTATATTGTCAAAGAAGAAAAATAAAAACACTGCAAACGCACATGCATTTAATACATTGAGAACAAATGCAGAGTGCAGTCCGTATTTATTATGAGAACAAGTGACACTGCATGCGATATCGGTACATCATTTAAATCAAACCGAATTAACAACCGGACTCGACCGGTTAAGGCTATTCAATATATGGGCCTCGTTATCGGGCCTTAACGCTCACATCCGTTTGGATCTAGGGTTTATTACATAACCGTCATATATAAACTTCTATCAAAGCTCGCGCCGCTCTTCCATTGTCACTTACTCACTAGAGCTTTTGCGAAAATGGTTCAACGGCTTGTGTACCGATCTCGCCACTCTTACGCCACCAAATCAAACCAACACCGCATCGTCAAAACTCCAGGTAACGAACCGAACCGAACTGCGATCTAAAGTTGTAGTTAAACGATTCGTGGAAGATTTTGATTTAAAGAGTTTTTGTTTTGGTTTTGGGGGTTTTGTGAAGGTGGGAAGTTGACTTTCCAGACGACGAAGAAGAGAGCTAGTGGACCTAAGTGCCCTGTCACTGGCAAGAGGATCCAAGGGGTAAGCCTTTTGTTCTGTTTCTAATTCGATTTTTATGTCGGAGTTCAGACATTTTTGGAGTTTAATGTAAGAACTTGTCGGAGTTAAGATATGTTAGGAGTTAAATTTGAGAACTTTTTGGTTGCAAGAGTGAAAGGAGTGAAAGGTGTTTGCTTAAGATTGGTAATAATAGTGAACTTTTTGCCAGATTCGGTTATGATTCTATGTCGGAATTCAGACAGGTTAGTAGTTAGATGTAAGAACTTGTTTGTGAACTTGTCGGAATCAGACATGTTAGTTGTTAAACTTAAGAACTTGTTTGTGAACTTGTCGGAATCAGACTTGTTAGTTGTTAAATGTAAGAACTTGTTTGTGAACTTTTCGGAATTCAGACATGTTAGTAGTTAAATGTAAGAACTTGTTGGTGAACTTGTCGTGAATCAGACATCTTAGTTGTTAAATGTAAGAGCTTGTTTGTTTAAGATTGGTAAGATAGTGAAGAGACCTTAGAAAGGCTTTACATGGTGACTCGTCTTACTAGATTTGAGTGTCCTTCTTGCATTTCTTAGGGTTTAGTTTTGGGTGTTTTGTGTTTGTGTAGATTCCGCATTTGAGACCTGCTGAGTACAAGAGGTCGAGGTTGTCAAGGAACAGGAGGACAGTGAACCGTGCATATGGTGGTGTTCTCTCTGGACTAGCTGTTAAAGACAGGTAAGCTATTTTTTTAATTAAGGTTACATGAGTTCTTGAAATGCAACTGATTCTTGGCAATGTGTTTGTTTCAGGATCGTTAGGGCATTTTTGGTGGAAGAGCAGAAGATTGTGAAGAAGG